GTGCACAGCTGGTGGAAGACAAAACGGTGCAGCTGCAGATGGCGGTTCCTGAAAAAATTAAACACTGACCCACCATTCGTTCCAGCCAACCCTACTGAGTATGCACCTTAAAGAGCAGATGTCTGCACGCCCATGTTCAAAACAGCCAAAGGGTGGAAGCAACCCAAGCGTCCTTCGACAGATGAATGGATAAACAAACCATGGTCCATCCACACTACGGAGTACCATTCAGCTTTAAAAAAAGGAAGGGAACTCTGACACCTGCTACCACACGGATGAACCGTGAGGACATTACGCTGAGCGGAATGAGACAGACACAAAAGCACACACATGTGTGATTCTACTCATATGAGGTACTTAGTCAAATTCAAAGAGACAGTGAGTAGCAAGTCTCCTGGGGCTGGGGGGTGGGGGGAGTTCCCCTTTAGTGAGTCCAGGGCCCCAGTTAGGGAAAAGGAAGCGCTGCGGAGGAGGAGGGTGGTAATGACTGCACAATGACCTACACGTCTGCACTTACACTGAAAAATGATGAACATGTTACATTGTACGTTATTTATATTCTGCCACAATAAGAAACATAAATAAGAAGTTCAGGGGCTACTCCAAAAAGGTCTGTGCAAGTCTGGTGGATGCACTATGATCTTGACAGAGGGAACCGAAGCATCAGGCTGGGTGGTGGGTGAGGACACGTGCTCTTCCTGCCTGGGAAGCTGCCTGCAGGGGTCACACTGCAGGGAGGACTTCACCACGCTGCTCCCCGCCTTCCGAGCTGTGTGGGCACGGCCCCCGCTCTGCTGGGACACGGGATGCCCACCAGCTCCTATCGGAAACACACTGCAAACTCAGAGGGTTTGTTACCAAGCTCTAAACAGCTACAGAGTAAACCAGCAAACACTTTCAGGAGATGCGTTCCACCCAACAGAACCTAAGAGTCTACATAAAATTCAACCCTATGATGGTTATAATTTTCACCCTGAAGCCCGTTTATGTCTCTCGGAAATGTAGTCTTAAGCAGAAATGGAGTTCCACTCACTGCTGGAAATATGAATAAAACCAGTAAGATGGCAAAATAGGGACCAGAGGTTTTCCAAGTGTGGTCCTTAGATCATCAAGAGCCACATCTCCAAAGAATGTGCTAGAAATGCACATTCTTGGGCATTTCGCGGGTCGCTGGGGCCGAGCAGTCTCTATTTGACCAAGCCCTCGAGGAAATTCTGATACATCCTCAGTTTGAGCATCACTGCTCTAGGGAGATGGAGTGATGAAAACGCCTGAAAAACATCGAGTTTTGTTTAAAAGCTACAATTTCTGTAGAAAATGCAATTTGAAAAACATAGGAAGGAACTATTCTAATGCAGCTCACACGGCTCACAGAAGCCCAGCACCTGGGTATTCCCCACGGCAGCACCGCCATCTAACCACATCCACAGAATACGTCTCAACAAATACGTAAGGATTTATAACGAGCATCAAAGGCAGGTAGGAATTTTGAATTCACTAGGTTTGACGAGCCAAGGATTAGCAGATGGAGGTATGATAATTTAACACAGCGACTAAGAACTGAAACTGTTTCATCCTGAGCTGCTAAAGAGGAATGACAATTACAGATTACGGGGGGGGGGGGCGGGCAGGTGGATGAAGGAAGAACAAACAGTGGGTGGTGAGATTCAGGACAGGAAAGAGAGGACCTTCTGGTTCATTCATTCATTCATCGGTAAAGCACGTCCAACAGACACCTGTGAAACCCCCAGACGTCACTGACACTGGGTATTACAGGATGTAATGATGCTGTTTGTTTTTTCTGAAATATGCATATCACCCTCCCCTTCCCCCCTAAAAATGCACAGCTTTCCCAGGACTCAGAGTTGGGTATATGTTTTACTTTTCAAAACAGAAAAAAAAATTAAATATTTTTAAAAGCAAAATATCATCAGGCAAGACTCTAGCTTATTTATATTGGAGCCACTCAGGATATTTTAAAATAATGGACATCTCGAAGACGTGCTCTAAAAAGGAAGCGTACGGAGGGCGCACAGGTCCTGCGGGGACCTCAACCAAAGGCGAGCCCTGGGCCCAAAGACCCCGAGAAAGGGAAAGGAACTTGAACGAGGTCCTGCGGGAACACTGACCCAGGCCCTGGCTTTGAAGGCCAGGCTCTCATCTCAGAAGAGCCAAAATGAACAGGGGAAAAGACAAAGGAGGAGGGGAAAGCAGACAGGGAGGCTGGCGAGAGGCCGAGGCAGTGGACGGCAGAAGAGGACCAAGCAACGGGCTGTCCATCCGTCCATCCGGACGGTTCCTCACCAGCCGCAGATGACGCGGAGGACCAACCTGCTTGTGAGCAAGGAGGCGGCACGGCTGGCCCTGCTCTGCTGTCGGCAGAGACGCAGGGACACGCTTGAGAAAACCTCACGGCCCAGACCTCAGATGCAGTTAACGTCCAGGCCCCAGTGCATCTCGGCATCTCAGGTGGCCGCCACCTCCTGGAGCTGCTTATGCCAACAAAAGGAGCTGGTTTCCACCAGGACCACAGCTGCCCCTCTCTCTGTGGCCTTGAACTCCTCTCCGATCAGTCAACGGGAATCTTGAGAATGCACTTACCCGGATATCTACCCGTTCAGGGGACAACAGTCACAGCACACAGCGCGTGCTTACTAGTCCGAGAGGCTGCAATTCAGAAACTAAACTGAAGCCTGCAGGAGCCAACACAAAGTCATCACACCAGACTCCAGCTCCCAAGCTCTGGTTTTGGGGGGACCCGCTCTGTGGAAGGTGCATTTTCAGGGATCTACAAAATCGGTTGAGAGGTATTTCCATAATGAAAACACAAAAAGGCTGCCTCATGTCATGCCAGCCCAGTGCTCCCAGACACACACAAGCTCATCTCTCTTAACAACGGTCTTTTCCTTTCAATTATGCTCCTAAGTGCCTCAAAAGCTTTTCAGAGATAGACTAGGGGGTGCCTGCAGCAGAGGTGACCTGAGGTTACATGCTTTAAAAAGGAAAACAAACCAACAAAAGGCTGTGCTGGAAGCTCGGTGTCCACCTTGCTGAGAACATCTGGTGTGTCTCAGACCCAGAGAGGAAACCAGGTCAACCTCTAGGGCCGAGACGGGTCATTCACAAGGGAAACCGGGGCAGAAAAGGACGTTTGAGTCTGCAGAACAGAAACGGGGCAATATCTGTCAAGAGGCAACAGACCTTGGGAGGCTAAAACACACTTTACTCACCGTCCCATCTGCAAGAGCGCGTCTCGGGGAGAGGCAGTGCATCAGAGGCCAGCAGCCACTGCACTGGGACCTCGGGACACAGGCTGCACAGACCAACTGTATTCACCCCCACCAACACGAGCCCCAAATACCCTTGCTGTTGGAGGGCACTCCCACACACATGTATGTGCACACACGTACATGCTCTCCGATTCCTTCCCACTGCCCGACTTACCAAGGATTGGCTGCACCTGAGGAGGAAACAGCCTTGTACAGCATCCACACACATGCACATGTGCACACAGACACACGCACACCCCTCTGCCCTCCAGGCCGTGCCGACCCTGCACTCACCCAGGACTTGCTGTCCTGGACAAGGAAGTCACGCTGCACATTATACACGCGCGCGCGCACACACACACACACAGGCTTGCACACACATGCATGTGCACACACACGCCCCGCCGCCCTCCCGGCCATGCCCACCCTGCACTCACCGAGGACTCGCTGTCGCGGACCAGGAAGTCGCCCTGCACGCCCCGCGCGTTGAGCGCGCACTCGGCCTGGTGGCGCGTCACGTTGC